CCCGTCCCTGGTTTATTTTATTTTTAAAAAATTAACATTTTGTTCTAAAATGTAAAAGGGTCACGCACGCTCACAAGAGCAACGCAAACACTTATTAGGGTTTCAATTTTCAAACCCCATTCGACGACCAAGCACTCCAGCGATGGAGCCACCGGACCAGCCACGGAGCCACCGCGCCATCTGCAGAGTCAGGGAACTCACCGGTGAATTTTGAAATAACCTCTCCTTTCACAAGGTGCTCCTTTTGTTGCCTCTTTCGTCCAATTTCGATTCGTTCCCTGCCTTTTTCTATTCCTCCATTATTTTGCTTCGTGGCTTTTGCTTTTTCTGGATTCATCATTTTCTGGATTTAGGTTTAGATTTTTAATTCGTTCCTGTCAGATTTGTCGAATTTTGGGATTACGGTGACCGGTTAATTAAATTTTACGTGTGTGTTTTACCGTAATCGGATTTGGTGATATGTTGGTTTCGAATTCACCAGAAATTTTCATGATGTACTTGTTAGATTTGGTACTTTTGTCAGGTCCAATTCGGTAATGTTCTAGAGTGTTCTAGTGGTCTAGGTGATGTCTAATTTGTTTCACAATTTTTTTTAACTCAAATTTATATGATTTTTAACTCGTGTGTCCTGGTTTTTAACTCAATTTAGATGATTTATTTTGCGTTGATAATACAGTAAATTGTTTATCTGCTTGGTTGCCGACTATGGTTATGATGTTCACATCACTGCTGATTTTGTATGTGCCTTTTCGAATCTATTGTCATGTCTTCTTTACAAATATTCTTAGCAATAGCAACCATAGATGCCAATTTCTTAATTTTATATAGTGTTGTTTATGTTGCTCTAGTGCATCTCTGTCCCGTAGGTCCACCTGCAGTAGAAAAAATATAACAAAAAGCGTCGGTCATCACCATAAATAAATCCATAATAAACTAATTAAAAATATTCTCCACTTCACTTAAAATGATGATTTGACTAATCTTTTAACTTTAAATCCAAAGCAAAATATTATTTAATAGACATCGTAAGTTATTTGTAAACACAAAGGATAATGATATTTTATTAAAATCACTTGAAACAGATAATGATAGCAATCTAACCTTTGTGATTTGAGATCTCTTGAAGAAGGTACAATAGGAAAAATAAGTCACTTGTTAACACTAAAATTTATTTTAATTTTTAATCCCTTCTAATGGTATGAAAAAAATGTTAAAACTGCATTAATGAGATAAGTTTTATGTGATTACGAGAAAGTTTTACTTATAAAATTTTAATGATTTTCATGTTATACGGACAATGTATGAATTGCAACATACACTTTATAAAATTACCTATATGAATGTCAAGCGAGACTACTTGCATGAGATTTTGGTGAGATCTCTAAAACACTCATAAATATCGAGCACACATAGTCTCAAAGTGCAACACAATGATAATAGAGATGTATTGTGATTGGTTAATCTTTGATACACACCAAATATTTTGGGTTCAATAGTTTGTTACACTCACTACATCATGTGTTAACTTTTATCCATTTATGCTTGGTTCAATAACTTGTTACGTCAAATCCCATACATTACATCTTATATAAAAACCCATAATGTTTTTTAAACCTTTTGAAATATGCAAACAATTATTGTATGTTTTGAGATATTTCAAAAGGTTAATTTATTCATGAAATTATTTTGGATATTCTTATTAATTACAAATTTTAAAACTTAATTAATATCAATTTTAATGAGATATAATATTTGATTGTTGTAGTTTTAATTATAAAACTTTTGAAAAATTAATTGATTTTAATTCTCACAATTAATTATAGACACAACGATTAATATGCACATTTTATAAATAATGAGAATTAGTATAAAATAGAGATACCGAACATTGTTCTTTATTTTATTGGTTAAAATATTGTCAGTTTTACATCTTGAATACAATACTATAATGATTTTGTTTTGTTATATCCTTAGGGACATGCAAAAGTTTGTAGATAAGTTGTTTAGGATAATGCATTGCACGTCTCAACAATTAGTGTATTCAACATTTATGGACAACATGCATAAATTATTATGCAACAGTTCTTTCATATTAAATTTTCTAAAATACTTTTTTTAACTTATGTATAAATTTATGTAAAAAAACACATATAAAATAATCTTAGTTTATATAGAAAAGAGTTTTTTTTTTTAATTTATGGAAATATGTTCTAACACATTTGAACTATTGTATTAATTCATTTAATTTTATATATCCTCTTTAAGGATGGCAATGGGGTCCCATGGGGGCGGGTAATAGTAAATTCGCCCCCACCCCGCTAGATACAAATTGTCTCCATACCCACCCCATATCTGCGCGGGTATCCATTGAGCGGGTATCCATAAATTTCTTGAATATCCACGGATATCCATGGATATTTATAAATTTTTAAGAAATTAAAAAAAATTATATTACAAATATTTTTAAGTCTATATTTAATGTCATTAAAATATTAAAAATAAAAATTCAATGTTAATTTTGAACTTGTATTTAACGTTAATTTTGTTGAAATAATAATAAAAATGTAAGATAATCAATGACTTAAAATACATCAATCTCACAAGTAAGTTAAAGTCTCATCACAAAGCTACAATAATTCAATCTCATAATTCCAAACGAAAGTAAACAACTTAAAATACATAAATTTTATTGGTCCAATCAAAGCTAGAAAATTAATCAAATTATATCCAACATAATTCTATAACATGCTTAACACATGTTGGTAACTTCATCAACGTCACTTTTGTAAGAAAATAAGACGAGAGAGTGTAGTTTTAGGGTTATGTAGTTGAAGGATAATTAGGATATTTAAGAAATATTATTAAACGGATACTCGCGGGTATGAATATCATTATACCTGCCCTCGCCCCATTTATAAACGGGTAAAAAATTATCCGTCCCCATTATCCGCGGGTACCCAATTAGCCTATTCATTTATTATCCGTAGCGGTTTTACTCGCAGATACCCGCGGGTGCGGTATTTTTGCCATCCCTACTCCTCCTCATGATGTTCTAGTTAGATATAAGAGGGTTTTGCTCAATATTTATAAAGTTTTAATTTTTTTTCTTTTTTTTTATGTGTACAAAAAAAATCTTATATAATAACTTTATTTTGTTCAACTCAATAATTCTATATAATTTATAATAACTAATATTTTAATCTATGTATTGCTAATGTTTAATATTGGTTATATATAATTACAATTTATTATTATTATATTTGAGCAATTGGCATCTATGGTTGCTATTGCCAAGAATATTTGTAAAGAAGACATGACAGTAGATTCGAAAAGGCACATACAAAATCAGCAGTGATGTGAACATCATAACCATAGTCGGCAACCAAGCAGATAAACAATTTACTGTATTATCAACGCAAAATAAATCATCTAAATTGAGTTAAAAACCAGGACACACGAGTTAAAAATCATATAAATTTGAGTTTAAAAAAATTGTGAAACAAATTAGACATCACCGAGACCACTAGAACACTCTAGAACATTACCGAATTGGACCTAACAAAAGTACCAAATCTAACAAGTACATCATGAAAATTTCTGGTGAATTCGAAACCGACATATCACCAAATCAGATTACGGTAAAACACACACGTAAAATTTAATTAACCGGTCACCGTAATCCCAAAATTCCACAAATCTGACAGGAACGAATTAAAAATCTAAACCTAAATCCAGAAAATGATGAATCCAGAAAAAGCAAAAGCCACGAAGCAAAATAATGGAGGAATACGAAAAAGGCAGGGAAGGAATCGAAATTGGACGAAAGAGGCAACAGAAGGAGCACCTTGTGAAAGGAGAGGTTATTCCCAAATTCACCGGCGAGCTCCCTGACTCTGCGGATGGCAAGCTCGGAGGAATTGTCGAGGTTGTCGACGACGACGGTTCTGAAGCCTCCGAGCAAAAGCTGAAGAACGGTGTGGGTACCGATGTAACCGGCTCCGCCGGTAACAAGGACGGTTTTGTGGAGCATGAGCTTATGCGCAGCGTTTTGCAGTGAAGAGTTGGGAATATTAGGGGGTGGCCGAAAATGAGGGGAATTAATATACGGTGCGGAGGAGGCGATGTTGTTAATGCTGACGCGCGATGCCATATTCGTAGAAGGCGAGAATTGTGTGACACGTTCCCAAAGTTGTGTGCTCCGAATGGGAATGGGAATTGGAAGGAATGGTTTTATGCGAATATTTATGGAGGGAACAACAGATCAGCCACGTGGATTTCCAGTGTTAATCATGTCGACATCACTCCCAAGCACTTTTTTAAACCTCTCTTCTTCTTTTTTCTCCCTTACTCATTGCTTTCTTCAAATTAATGCAGGGACTGCTTCAATCAATCTTGCTCTTCTTTGGTTTACATTTCTTAATTCATCTTAATCACCTCGGTTGCAACTTCCAAATGTGACATCTCTCTTTAACTCTCCTAATATTCACCTTTTTGTTTAAGTATTACCTCAATCGTCTATTCTTCTTCTATAGCTATAGATTAAAAGCACATAAGAAAAATAAATGCATAATAATTTATTGATCGAAAAGTGTTTTTATTTGAGTCTTCATTTCCTTTATAATTAAATTATTTATTATGTTTGTTATTTATAGATTAAATAGGTGAAAGTGATATGTTATGATAGATTTTAATTTAGATGTGGATGATGTTTAAATTGTGATAATTAATGATTTGCATATAAATGTTATAATAATTGGTGAAGATGATATATAAATCGATATAAATGTAGTAAATATTAAGAAGTATGTTTTTCAATGTGCCGTGATATGCTATGTTTTATTATTTTTTGAAAAAAAATATTAATTGCAAGCTAAATGTTCTTTGTTTGATAGTGTTTTTTTAAAAATTACTTAGTAAATAAACTTACCGTAAAGTATTCACATAATTTTTACTTTTATAATTTTTGGGTGTTGTTTTTTTGCAAAGTTGTATCTTTAAACAAGTAAATGACATGAAAACGTTAGAATATGATTATGTTAATTTACGTGGATAGAAAAAGATTTACAGGATAATTAAGATTAAAAAATGCTAGTAGTATCTTTTTTTGGTAGTATTTTATGTGCATTTTGTTTATATTAAAATTATTTTTTAAAAGGATAACATTATCTTCCTTTAATTCTAAATTTCTTACTTATTTGAAATTATTTTCATTCACTTTATACGATATCTCTAATATCTTTATATTTCAAGCCACGTGTTACATAATTATTGAATAATGTGATTTCAATAAAAATAATAATAATATCTAAAGACAATTACAAATTTAAATTATGTGAATAAATTGATTTTATAAGAATTATTTTAACTAAATAATTAAAAAAAAAATTCACCAATAAAGAACATTTCACCGACACATAATTAATATTTTTTCATGAAATTGCAAAACATAACATGTCATGCACATTAAAAAGTATTTTCATTAACTTTTGCAACATGTATATCATCTTCACCGATTATTATATCATTAAATTATAGGTTATGGTTTGTCACAACTTTAACATCATCTACATCTAAATCAAAATTTGCAACAACATATCACTTGCTCATGTTTAACATATTAATCATTTAAAAATTTCAGTGAACTTTTAAATTAATGGAAAAATATTTAAGAATTTAAATAAATATAAGAATAATATTTTTATACTTTTTTAATAATATTTATTATTAATAATTTTTAGTTAAAAATTA